TCCGCTTTTTTTAAAAAACTCACCAGGTCACTTTAATCGCGGAGGTGGTTGCAGCGGCTTGTTTTGTCCCTAGAGACAAAAACAGCTGGGAAGCGGAGACAATCTGAACTCCGTGGGAGCACTCTTTTCACCCCCCAAAAGAAAACCTTGGGGGTGCATAATAGGCTGTATCACTATTCAGATGATACTCTTCTCCCTCCCTCCTTCCTCCCGGGAACGAGATTTTGAACCGCAGAACAGCTGATGTCTGCTGTTCATAGCGGTTCTAACACTTTCCCAGGAGGACGGCTACAAAGTAGCCGCCATCGCGCACGCAGATCCACCGGAAGAGGATGGATACTATTTCTTATACACAATTACTTAAGTGTGATGGTAAAAATTGGCAATTAAAATCTAAGAATGAATTAGCACAAGAAAATATTATTTATTCATGGTTTCAGTATAGACAACTATTGGAAAGGTGGAAGATAGATTATAAGGTGGGCTTGCTTAGAGAGGATGAGAATTTGTTAAAACAAATTAGAGATCAAAGTCGAACCCATATTAAAAGAATTTATGGTGTCTTGGTGGAATTGGATTCAGAAGCAGAGCTAGTTAAAGACTGTATGGTTAAGTGGGCACAAAATTTTGATGAACCAATTTTATTAGATACATGGGAGATTATTTGGGTGAGGAATGTTAAATTTACGCAAGCCCAAAACTTACGGGAAAATTTTTATAAAATGTTTTATAGATGGCACCTTGATCCACAAAAAATGTCTCGTATGTATCCAAACCTGCAGCCTAAATGTTGGAGATGTGGTTGCTTGGATGCTACTTATTATCATATCTGGTGGTCATGTAAAAGTATAAAAGCTTTTTGGATTAGGATATGGTGGAATATTCAAAGAATTTTTAAAAGAAGGATAAAATTTACTCCACAATTGTTCTTATTGGGTATTGTTCCGGATTGTGATGACAAAGAGATTATTTTAATGTTAAATTTAATTACTGCGGCTAGGTTGTTAATAGGGCAATATTGGAAGAAGGAATTTTTGCCTACTTTGCAAGAATGGTTCTTTAAAGTTTCTTACTTAGCGGAAATGGCAAAAATTTCGGCTTTCTTGAAAGATCAATTGCAAGAGAAGTATCTCTTGGTGTGGAAAAGATGGATAAATTTTATACAATATAAGTATAATATAAGAAAATATTATCTAGCTTTTGAATAATTTATATCTAAAGTTTAAGATATTATCTAGAAGTGTAATTATTATTATTTTTTAATTTTTTTATTTTTTTTATCTTCTCTTTTTTTCCCTCTTTTTGTTTTTTATATATAATGGAGTTAAAGTATCTTACAACTTGTTTATTGAGTGTAATTATATTTGCTTAAGGCTTATTTGGGCTTAAAACTTTTTTTCTTTTAAGTTCTAGTTAAGCCTGTACTCAGCTCTGGGAAGAATGGGGGAGGGTTTTGGGGTGGGTTGGGAGGGATTGGGGAAGGGGCTTTTATTGTAAAATTTAAAAAAAAATTAATAAAAAAATATTTTCAAAATTTGAATAAAATGATGTATAAATTCATCTGGCAAGGAAAAAGAGCAAGGATTAAATTAAAATTATTGCAGGACTCAAAGGAAAGGGGGGGGGGATTTGGTCTTCCAGACTTGGAGAAATATTACCAGGCTACAGCATTAGTATGGGTAAGAGATTGGATATTACTAAAAAACAGGAGACTATTATGTCTGGAGGGCCATGACCTACAAATAGGATGGCATGCCATATTATGGGATCATAAATATAAAGTACATAAATATTTTCGAAGACACTATATTAGGCAAGCTCTTATTGATGTATGGACAAAAATCTGGCAACCAAATTATACCCAAGTACCTAGTTGGATCTCACCGTTAGAAATATATGTACACCCAAAATTTACCCAATTAGACAAGACCATAACATATAAAAATATCTTAGATGAAAGAGGGGAATTGAAATCCAGGAAAACCCTCCAGGATGAAGGGATAGAATTAGAATGGTGGGCATACCTGCAACTGCAGACGAGATATTGGAAAGACAAAAAAGAGTTAGGCATTAAATTAGAACCAACAGAATTGGATAAAATAATATTGGGGTCGGAGGATAAAATGATTAAAAAATTATACAACTATTCGTTAGATCAGGCAATGTACGAGGAACAAGTAAAAGTGACTATGTTGAATTGGAGCAAGGACTTTGGTCTTAATTTTGATCTGCACATCTGGCAAGAACTATGGGCAAGAAACAAGAAGCTTACTTTGGCCACCTCTTACAAAGAGAACCTTTACAAAATGTGTTATAGATGGCATCTCCCACCCACAAGATTGGCTAAAATGTGTACCAATGTCTCCCCTAAATGTTGGAAATGTAATTTGACAAGTGGAACTTACTATCATATGTGGTGGGAATGCACGCGAGCTCGTGATTTTTGGAACAGGATTAAAGTATGGTTGGAAGAAATATTAGAGCAAGTGGTAGAACCAAAACCAGAACTCTTTCTATTAGGTTTAACTACGCAAAAGCATGACAAAGGCGTACTTTATTTAATGCTACACATTTTAACGGCTTCCAGACTGGTTTTTGCTCAAAATTGGAGGAATAAGGGAACCCCAACAAAAGAAGAGATCCTGCATAAAATTTTATCATGTACTGAGATGGACAGGCTTACAATGATTATGAAAGACAAGAAAGAACACGAATACTTCGAAATCTGGGGCAAATTTTATCGTTGGTATGAATTAAGGAGAACTGCTCGGACTATAAGTTAATGGTAGAATTAAAAGATATATATAACTGTACATATAATTGTATATATAATTGTATTGTATAGAAGATGAGGCTTATATAGAGGTTAAGAATGATGTATTAAGCTTTTGTACCATGATAGGAACTGATAGGAAAATTCATTCTGGAATGTCATGTTTGTCCATTGTTGTTTTAATTGTATTATGAATAAAAATATTTTTTAAAAAAATAGGCTTGCAAACTGACAGGTGGGAGGCTTGTTATCTACCCTGGAGAATGGACAACTTAAAACAATAAACCAGGAAAAAATGTTGCTATCCAAATGCAGGGCAATGCACATCCCCGACAGCAGAACAGAAACATATGAACTCCGTGAACTAGGACCCCATTCTCGCAAACTTGTAAACTGCTTTCATTTTGTAGAACTGGTTAAGTTTAAAGCAAATTCCAATTGTAATTCTCAGAAAACAAAAAAAATGGTACATTAATGTCTCCTCACCAACATAAGCCTTGGGATATTGGGTTGTTTGCAAAAAAAAAAAAAAAAATGAAGTTCTTTGGAAAAAATTTCCTCAAAGGTTTTATTAGCCTGTCTTCAGGGAGACTCACCCTCTGCTAAATTGATACCATTTGATGCTCCTTCCATGGCAGAATCTCTCTCCCGCTGCACGCCTTCAGGTGACCACGTGTTTCTCCCTCTCCCCCCCCCCCGTCTCTCTTACTCTTGCCTTACAGGCCTAGTGGCTCCGGCTGACTTTGTTCTCATCTTGAGCCTGTTTCTCTACACTTCTCTCCCACTCTCCTCCTCTCAGTACTTCGCTGAGCGCGCAGGCGTTCCGTTCGCTTGCTTTGCCTTTTGGAAGAAAGCAAAACCAATATAATATATAAAACAAAAGGGGTGAAACTTTAACCAGCAAATACATGCTTTCTCACAAACAGGTTTCTCCCCCCCCCCAAAAAAAGCCACCATAAGGCCAATTTAAACTGATCAATCTAAATTCTTGGGAGGTATTTCCTCTATGCCACTTCTTGTTCCTCTAGTCTATGACATCTCCAGGGCATCAGTTAATCAGTTATAGTAACCAGGTGTTACTCCATCCACCCAAGAGCATACTTCTATTCATCCAAGAACCTCCAAGCTCATGGGATTTTAAGAACATGCCTTGTCTGTGAGTTGATTCAGGGGGGAGAGAGTTGCAATTCATCCTCTAGTGAGCAAGGTTCAATATTTAGGAGTTTTAAAAATGTCTCAGCCTCCTTTGAATAAGCTATACTTGCTGTGCTTGAGCATTTTTCATTCTCGTAAGTGCCCCCGAATGTTTCTCTTACGGTTCTTGCCTAGACAGCTGTCAACGAAAGCTCAGTTTTTCCTCGTTTTCTTTATGGCTCGGTTAGTCATAAATTATGACCTCACAGTCTGGATTCTTTAAAAGGTGGTTGACGAGGTTGTGGTTTAGTATATTGATCTGGGGACGTCTTTAAGACTGGAGGTGAGGGATGAAGATGCACAAAAAGTGATTTACAGAGAAACCCAACTTCTGTTTTCGCTTGACTTCTAGACAAATGCAGGATGATGAAGATGCTTTCAGGGAAAACCATGGAATATTGCCTGGCAATAGCTAAAGGTGGCCCACCTTAATCTCTCATTTTTCCCTTGAATACGAAGTGAGAATATTTGCGGGCAGTTGCTAACTCCTCTTTTACTGCCAATCAGAGGTTGCCGCTACAGGAGCTGCTACCTGGGACTACAGACAGCACAGGTTTCATAGCTTCAATTTTATTGTCTGGATGGAGTGGATTTATCTACCAAATCCAATCGGCTTAAAGGGCTGTTCCTGGTGGAATTGGCCCCGAGATGGCACCAGGAGCTCCTGGAACTGAATGTCAAAAATGTAATTTTCTGGTTTTTCAGGTTTGGGTCCTCTTTGAAGAAAAATCTGAGACTAACCACATGAGACTTTATGCAGCATAGGTAACCGGGGATGGGATTGGGGGCCGCATTGCATAAAGAGAAGGGAACAAGAAGCAACCTGGAATTTGCTCCAATTGGTACATGTCTGCCTGTGTTTTGAGAGGTGGTGAAATACTTCAAAGACTGAGCTCTTGTGTTTTCATGTATGTAAAAAGCTGACTCATGCTTTGATTCAAAGGAAACCTGATTCATGCTGAACTTTTTTTTTATTTGCTGAAGAAAAAAAAAGGAATTAATATGCCAGCTTCCTTCAAAAGGAAAGCTAAAATGCTCTAACTGAGAATGGGGGAATTACTAATGAATCAACCAGGAGAGGAGAAACGATCTTTTGTATGAAGAGTGCTGCAGTTTCTGGATTATTATTGGAGAATTCAGAAAAGCTAAACCTGGGAAACATTCTCTCTTCTGTAAGTTATGCAAAGAAACAAGGGCTTTGTCTTCAGGTCTGGCTAGGAAGCACCTAAATCTGAAAAGCTGTTCTCCCTCTTTTCTCCTCCAGCTTTTCAGTTTCTGATTAGGGTTTGTTGAAAGAAAAGTCTTCATCCTGGTTCACCCAAGCCGTGGATAAATAAACAACATGGCGACTGCTTTGGGAAGAAGGTTGCAGTTTATTGAAGAGCCAGACCAAAAGATGGTTCTGGCAGGAAACAGGAGAGAAAAGAAAGGCTGAGCACATGTGGGAAGGAGGTTTTTATACTCACTGAAGCCTTTTGTTTGGAATAGTTTCCTGTTCCTGTGTTGAGGCTTTGTATTCCTGTGTCATGTATTCTGACCTGAGTCTGGGTGTGCTTTCTGGTATTCTTGATGGTGATGGGTTAATCCTATTATGTCCCAAGGGTTATATCTTGCTTCCCTGGTGATGGGGCTAATGACTCCTAGAGTTTGGGTGGGGTATACAGATTTTAGGTATCTTTGTCTTCTTGATCTCCTAGCTGGGCCCTTTCTGATGGTTTACATCTGCATTTGTACAGAGCTGGCTTCTGCTTGGGACAGAGAGACTTGGGGGCAGGGTTGGTTTCTGCTTTTAAAATCCTTTTGAGGAAATATATTTTTCTGCCCTTTTAATATTTCCTTCTCTGGGGAGCTGACTTCCCTCAGGTTGGTCCTATTTAAAGGGCATGCTCATAATTACCAAGAAAGATAGGAACAGAACATCCAGAAATAAATTGAAGAAAGACTAAAGTTTTAGCTTTCCTAGATGCATATTGATCCTTCCTTCACAAAGATTTCTGAGTTGACCAACTGGTTGCCTTTTTGCTCAGGAAGGGCAGAGACTTGGAAATGGTTCATTGAATTTCAGTTGATTGTACTAACTAAACAATCAGTTTAGAAATATCTAAGATATTTGCATACATTAAGGCAGGGGTGTCAAATTCAATTTCATTGAGGGCCGCATCAGCATTGCAGTTGCCCTTGGGGGGCCAGGGGTGTGTGGCCAGGGTAGGTGCAGCTTACTGGGTGGGTCTGGCCTACTGGGTGGGCATGGCCAGCTCTACATCGTTCGCGTCAAGGGTGCCTGTGGGGGCCTGGGCAGGAGTGGGACAGATCTGAGGGTCTCTGGCAGAAGGGGGTGGGACCGGGGCAAGCACCAAGGTATGGTGCATTTCTTCATTCCTCACAAAGGGTGACACCTCCACAGCATGCACCCAGGGGGCAGGGCCAACGCAGCAGGAACTGGTTCCTCACTTTTTCTGGACAGCCTTGTGGAGCTAAGACTGAATACATTTCAGAATAGATGGCTACCACATCATTGTACATTGGCTCCCTGCCAGTCTGGGCCAGAGTCAAGGCAGTGGGGGCCATTCCCTCACTGTTTCCAGGATGGTTTCACGGGCCACATGAAATCACTTCGTGGGCTGCATCTGGGCCCCAGGCCTTGTGTGTTTGACATATCTGCATTAAGGAAAAAAAGGATGTGGGTGTGTTCTTTTGCTGAATAATCTTTATAATATTTTTGTCATCTATACTCATATCCAATAAATATACTGCTTAGCAAAATATAATCAAGATTTCCTGTGTCACGAATTCTGACCTGAGTCCGGGTGTGCTTTCTGGTAGTCTTTTTTTTTTTTTTTTTTTTTGTAAAAAAGTTTTATTAATTTTTTTCCATTTTTATAAAAGCTTAGGACACAACATGGTGGTCAGGGTGACAAATCACTCGAAGACAAAATCATATAAATATAACTCAGATTAATTATAAAAAATTTCCTCTCTATTTCCTAAATATAATGTTGCTTATTAAAATTAATAGAGTTTTAGGTAAAATTCAATCAAGCAAAAATCATCAATCACATTGTGATTATAATAATCTATATCCTGTTTTTAAGCGTTACTAATTACAGTTCTTATACTCCAATTATGTTTTAATAAACATATAGTTGGGATTTCAGGTATCCTTAATGATAGATCATTCCTTGAGACTAATTTTTTTTCCTATCACAAATAGCTCTTCCTCTCTCTCTCTATTACAACATGGTTATCATATTAAAAATAATAATAAAATTCCAACAAATACAAATTTTTAAAAATATATTCTGTCATTTCATCAATCTACATCTGGAAAAAATCTTTTTAACCCCTTTAATAAAGTTTAGACCTTCAAATACTTACCAACTATAATATCAAAAAATTCCCATCCTTCATTCATTATTAAATCAGACAAAATCTCTCTATTACAGCATAATTATCATCTTTAAAATAATAATATAAGTCCAACAAATACATTTCTATTTTTAAAAATATGTTCTATCATTTCGTTAATCTACATCTATAAAATCTTTTTAACCCCTAATAAAGTTTACTCCTAATAAAGTTTACTTCTTCAGCTATGATAACAGTAAATTCACATTCTTCATTCATTATTAGACAAAATCTCTAAAGCCTTTTTAACACATCAAGTAACATTTTATATCACATTTAAACCTAACTCTAGCTTTCTTTCTATGCCAAATTGGTTCCCATATTAAAGCTTTTTGGTTATCAAAATTTGGTTAGAAAAATCTCTGACCAATTCAAACTGAACAAAGTTTTCTTCCCTTTCTGCCAATATCATCTGAGTGTTATATTCACTTTTGTTCCATGTTATAGTTAAAAGTAAGTTATCCGCTTTGTTGTAATTTTCAGAGAATCGTAACTGGATGTCAATCTCTGTTATTTTTGATAGTTGAACTGAATCAATTACGGTGATTTCTTGGTCATCGAAGTTCTCCCTTAGTTGTAGGTAACATCATGTAAAGTTAGTTGGCTCAGTGGTTTCCGCATTTTCTCCCAATGTAAGTTCACAATTGGGTTGTAAGCATAATTCCTCTGTCTCTTTAAATTGTATATCTTGATGTACAGAGGCCTGTTCAGGATTACTCTGCTCTTCCTCTATTGTTCCTTGTTCTATAAGTTGATTCATTATTGGAGGGTCAGTTTGAGGTTCCAAAGTAGCATCTTTAAGTTTTCTCCGAGGTTTCAAATAAGTTTTGAAGTTTTCTGTGAATTCTAATTTTTTTTCCAGTATTAAATCATAGTCAAGGTGTGGATAACTTTCTTCCATTTTGGTGGTAGACTAGCCTATTCCTTTACTGGACTGTATTTAGAAAAAATCCACAAATGTCCGCCTCCAAAGGTCTAATAGCCAGCTTCACCACCCAGCTGTCAAATTATCTTTTCTCTTCTATTACCATATGAAAGTCCAATCCCTCTTCAAATAACAAAGTACAGTTGCAATGTCACTTTTCGCCACCAGATGTCCTCAGTGAACTGTAAAGTACTTTTTCCAAGTTAATGAAGTTAAAGAAAAAAAAATTCTCTTTCTTTAAAAAGTTAACAAGAGAGGTGTCTCCAGCATTATAAAAATTGAAGGTAACAAGATCCCCTTTTTCTTCTTTTCCCCTTAATATCCCTGCCAAAAAATAATAATAATAATAATAATAAATAATAATAAATAATAATAAATAATAATAAAAAAAACCAAGCAGAAAAACAAAAAATTATTAATTTCTTTCTTTTGAGCTCTTTTTCCCATATAGGCAGCCGCTGCTTTCTTAGAAAACGGAAATAGTCAATAACTCTTTACAGGAAGGTAATCAGGACAATGAGAGAAGGGAAAGGTCTCACCCGGATTCACCGCGGTAGTTCTTCATGCTTCGATGGTCTTTTGACTTGCGGTTGGTGCGGCTAGGTGATCGGCTATTTTACTGGCCGATCTTCTTCTATGTTGGCCCTCAGAGTTAGCTCGGACAGCTGGAGGAGCCGCTCCTCCTCTGCAACTGAATGAAGCCTCCTCGATGGTAGTTGCGCCATCCAGGGCGACTTTTGACCCACATAAGGGTCTACCAGCGGAGGGAAGTTAGCTGACGAACTAGAGGCGCCGCGATCCAGAACCAGAAGTCTGCTTTCTGGTATTCTTGACGGTGGTGGGTTAATCCTATTATGTCCCAAGGGTTATATCCTGCTTCCCTGGTGATGGGGCTAATGACTCCTAGAGTTTGGGTGGGGTATACAGATTTTAGGTGTCTTTGTCTTCTTGATCTCCTAGCTGGGGCCTTTCTGCCCGGGACCAGAGAGGCTGTCGCCAGCGCCGTGCGCATGCGCGGGTGCTGGCGCGGGAAAAGTATCGCATTGACCCGGGAAATGCCTATATAAGAAGCTGGGAGGTTTTGGGAGCTGCTGAAGCCATCTACTTGTAAGCTGAACACAGAATAAAGAAAACTGAGAACTACAACTGCTTCTCGTGTCTTGCCTTCCGCGAAGGACTTAACAGTTTACATCTGCATTTGTACAGAGCTGGCTTCTGCTTGGGACAGAGAGACTTGGGGGCAGGGTTGGTTTCTGCTTTTAAAATCCTTTTGAGGAAATATATTTTTCTGCCCTTTTAATATTTCCTTCTATGGGGAGCTGACTTCCCTCAGGTTGGTCCTATTTAAAGGGCGTGCTCATAATTACCAAGAAAGATAGGAACAGGACGTCCAGCAATAAATTGAAGAAAGGCTAAAGTTTTGGCGTTCCTAGATGCATACTGATCCTTCCTTCACAAAGATTTATGAGTTGACCAACTGGTTACCTTTTTGCTCAGGAAGGGTGGAGACTTGGAAATGGTTCATTAAAATTCAGTTGATTGTACTAATTAAACAATCCGTTTAGAAATATCTAAGATATTTGTATACATTAAGAAAAAAAAGGATGTGCATGTGTTCTTTTGCTGAATAATCTTTATAATATTTTTGTCATCTATACTCATATCCAATAAATATACTGCTTAGCAAAATATAATCAAGAATTTAATCGTTTGCTTAGGACTATGTGTATGCATGAACAATATGGTAGATTTTGAACTGAGAGAAGTACCTGGGAGATCAGAGAACAGAATGCTACCAGTATTCAGTAACCAAATTGAGCCTGTATCAGGTGAAGTGCCTCT